TCTCTCTTGGCCCTGCACAGTCTCAGTATGGAATGACTGAGATATGGTGCCCAGGAGTCATGAGACCTCTACTGAGACCTGCCACCACCAATGCTGTGTGCAATTGATTCTGGGTGTATTTTATGACTCTTTTGATTGCCAATCTGGACCCAAGGCCACTGTAGCTGGTCAGACAGAGAAGGCATTGAAGTGTTTGAGGGTGTGAAATTTTGAAAAGTTCCCCAGGTAACTATGATGTGCACCCTCAGTTGGAAGTGTCTGGTCTCAACCAATGGGATCATTTATGGATTAGAAAATAGGCTCGAGGAGGTGAGTTGACATGATCTAGCTGTCTGGGGACAAGGTTAGAACTAGAACTGATGCTTTTTATACACATGCTCTGTGGTTTTCCACTGAAATAAATGAAATCACCTGGAGTCTTGTTTCCTAAAATATATTCTGTACAACACTAGTCTCAGGAAGTTCTCTGTGATGAACCACGTTCCATATGATTGAATGTGTTTTTTTAAGAAATTCTGGATAACACATCATCCTTGTAGAAATTTACACTATTTTGAAAGCCCTAGAAGTTGTCTAGATAATATATTTTGCTTCACTTAACCCAGAGTTTCCTCAAGACATTTGAATATTGGAATCATCGCTTTCACAATTGTAAACATCTCACTGAATTGTACCTTGGCAAAACAAACTTTGAGAGAAGCGCCCTTAAAGTATAGGTTGAATAAAGGATTATAAATAGCTGTCTTCAAAGCTGCAGAAGCAAGACTACCAGTACTACATGCACCTGTTTTTGTCCAAATTGTAAACAATTTGCACAAAAGTTGGTAGTAACATAGAAGGTAATTAAGATGTATGTTAATTTTATAATTAATTATTTTCATTTCATCTTTTACTGATACACAATAGATGTACATATTTTGGAGGGTACATGTCATATTTTGATACATTCATATAATGTATAATGGTCAAATTAGGGTAATTGGGACATCCATCACCTCAAACATTTATTTTTTCTCTACGCTGGGGATGTTAGAATTATTCTCGTTTAGCTATTATAAAATGTACAATAGATTATTGTTTACTATAGCAACCCTACTGATTTACCAAACAATAGATTTTACTTCTTCTATCTAACTGTATTTTGTACCCATTAGCCATCCTGTCTTCAATGTCCCCTCCTCCCTACTCTTTCTGGCCTCTACTAATCACCAATCTATTCTCTAAGGATTTTTGTTATTGTTGTGACTTTCCGTGAGTTTTTGGGTCTTGTTTCCAAGACTAGAGATGGAAAAGTCTCAAGACCTCTTGTAATAAGAGACAAATACCTGAAACTTCATCAAAAGCTGAAGCATCCCATCTATACTACAAACTCGGGGCTGAGTCTTCCATCTAGTTATGTAGATGCCTTACACAGGGCATTAAAGGGAAGAACTTTTTCTATTGATGAGCTTTGTCAGGGCACCTTTCATATCCTTGTTCCTCAGGGTGTAGATGAAGGGGTTCATCATGGGCGTCACCAAAGTAATTAGTACTGCACCGATCTTATCTGTGTCCTCTGGGTGAGTAGACGAGGGGAAAAAGTAAACCCCTACAATGGTCCCATAGAAGAGCAATACGACCGTCAGGTGAGACCCACAGGTGGAGAAGGCTTTTCTCTTCCCCTCTGCGGATGAAATTTTCAGGACAGCTTTGATGATGCAGACATAGGAGAATAAAATGAGGGCAAAGGGGAAGGTGATAACCGACAAGCCCACCACAAATAACACAAGCTCATTGATCGTTGTGTCTGAGCAGGACAGTTTCAGTAGAGTTGCCAAATCGCAGAAGAAGTGTGGGAGGGTGTTAGTGTTACAGAAGAGCAGTCGAATGAGCAGAAGGGTGTGTGTCAGAGCAATACCATTACTGAGGACCCATGGGATGACAGCCAGCAAAATGCAGAGTCTTGGCCGCATGATGGTTGTGTAGTTCAGAGGGTGGCAGATGGCCACAAAGCGGTCATAGGCCATGGTGCCCAGGAGAAAATTTTCAGTGACAACAGACATGATAGAAAAGTACATCTGTGTTATGCAGTTCCCATAGGAAATGGATTGACTCTTCATCTGAATATTCATCAGCATTTTGGGGACTAAGCTGGAGATGGAGGAAATATCAGCAAAAGATAGGTTGGCAAGGAAGAGATACATGGGGGTGTGAAGGTGCACATCTACGCTGATGGCCAGGATGATGAGCCCATTCCCAACCACTGTGACTAGGTACATACACAAGAAAAGCACAAAGATGAGTTTCTGCTGCTCAGCCTGGTTGGAGAGTCCCAGGAGGATGAATTCAGAGATGATGGTTTGGTTCCCTCCATGCATATTTCTGCCGATCTGAAGAAAGGAACACAAGGTCTTTATGTCCCCACAGAAAACTCAATATGACACAGTTTGGTGGCAGGCATTGCAGTGGGGTATTTGCTCTAGGCTGAAGGGTAATGAAGTTCCTTCTAATTATTAATAATAGTTATTTTTAGAGACAAGGCTTCACTCTGTGACCCAGGCCAATGTGCAGTGGCACAGTCATAGCTTAGTGCAACCTCAAACTTCTGGGCTCAAGCCATCTCCTGCCCCAGCATGATAAGTAACTAGGACGATGGGCTGGTGCCACCATATCTGGCTAATTAAAAAAGTTCTTTTTGTAGGGATGGGGACTTGCTTCATTGCCTAGGCTGCCTATGAACTCCTAGCCTGAAGAAATCCTCTTGCCTTGATTTCCCAATGTGCTTTTATTACAAATGTAAGCCACTGTACCAACCTTTCTCATTAGGTAGAAGTGCTACCTAATGAGATGCCCCTGCCTTCCTGCTGTCCACCCCAACTTGCACATAGGACGTGAGCTCCATAGGGAGGACATGTGCTTTGAACTGGGTGTGAAACTGAAGTTTTAAATTGGGCTTTTTTTTTTTTTTTTTGGCAGTTTTTGGCGGGGGCTGGGTTTGAAACTCTCACCTCCAGCATATGGGGTTGATGCCCTACTGCTTTGAGCCACAGGTGCCGCCTGGGCTTGGCTTTTTAATATATGGAAATGAGTGTTCAGTACCAAAGTAAAACATTTTTTTTTTTTGAACAAGTGAACTGCTCAGCACCCGTAACTCAGTGAGTATGGTGCCAGCCACGTACACCAAGGCTGGCAGATTTGAGCCTGGCCCGAGCCTGCTAAACAATAATGACAACCGCAATGGAAAACAACAACAACAAAAACAAAAACAAGTGACCAGAAAGCTATTATTTCCGAAGGTGTCACCTAGAAGCAGAGAAGGGAGATTAGACCTTGTTTGATTTTCTTTATGAGTTAATGGAAAGAATATCAGCTTGGGAGTGAAGAAGTGTTGGTCTCTGTTTTTCTACTTTCCTGATACTGTCTTCCTGTCATCTCTTCTACTTATCTCCAAAATCACTTGTCTACTAAAGGGTTTTTTTTTCCTATAAAAAGTTTAGAAAACAGTAAACCTCCACCTCCAGGCTTCCCCCAAACTGAAGAGCAGTGGAAATGAGGGGCAGAAGCTCTATAGTCTCTTTGCCCTGGGATGCTTGGCTTATAAATCGGAGAATAAACGCATGCAGAAGGGAGAATCCATGGCAAAACTAAAATGGAGCAAAGAACTGGCAGGAGCCACACTGAAGCTACAGACTGGCCTTACAGAGTCCTGTGGTTACAAGCCCTGGCCGGGATTGGCACAGGGAACTGTATATTTCTGAGTGACAATCTTGAATCTGACCTTCCTGTTCTAGATCTTTCAGCTACCAGTAGTCCTGCACATATTGTCCTGAGTCCCTGAGATGGCTGCCTAGCTTGTCAAGGCCAGTCTTAAATTCTTAAAAGGCTCACCTCTGAATGTGAGGAAAATCTCAGGAAATTACTGGTATTTAGGTCCAGTGGCTTTCCTTGTACTTAGCAGGGGATCAGGTGGGGACTGAGAGCAGCTCAGATGTATTTTTCAGAGTTGGCTTCTTCCTCCAAGCATCAGAATTAATAGAATCATGGTTCTGGGCTCATATGGGACATTTAGCTTCTTCTAAGCCCATTGGGATAATATCCCTGAGGTGTTTTCTTCATGACAAACAGTAATTTTCATATCCAAATCTCGATGAGGCAAGTGGGGAATAGACAGGCAGCTCTGCTTTTCCCCCTTGTTTTGCCTGCAGGTGCTCTTCCCATTTGTGATTTGCTATCTATAAGTTAACTGGTTATCACTCTTGATAGCAAGTCAGTTGTTTGCTGCCTGTGTCTTATGCTCCCAGTGTGGTGGTAAGCGTCTTGAGTTCCTTTTGTTCTACTCTATTGCATCATAGAAGAGAACACTTAGTAATTCCTAGAGAATTGAGTTGAATTCCTTGACTTGAGATTATAAGATCAAAGCAATGCCATCATAAGGTAAAGGGGATAGGCTGTGGTCTCTGTACCACTGGAATGAATGTTAGCATCGGAAAGACAAAGGAAACTCAGTGACTCAGTGTTCAGGGCTCTTGACTGCAAACTAAAGACATCAACTATGGGCCTTTCATATTGAAGAGAAACATAGTGAAATGACATTGAGTGGTTCACAGTACACTGGGAATGCTGGGGGAACAGACCTTGGAATGAACAGGAGCAAGGGAGGCTGCATAGGCAAAATTAAGATATCCCAATCATGCCCTCTTCAATAGGAAGCATCTTGATCTTTAGATTAACTGTTTTCATAATATTTATTCAAGAATATGTATTCATGGCAATGAAGTAATAGAAAAAAAGGGAAAGTAAATTATTCTATCTGAAAAAAGAAATCAAGAACACTATTCCATTGATAATAGCTATAAAAAGATATCTAGAAATAAATTTAATCATGGAGGTGAAAGATCTCCACACTGCAAACTATAAAACTTTGATGACAGAAATTGAAGAGGATATAC